TACCTGGTTAGGGCAATGGAAGAATTTTAAAGTAGAAGTGGGGCAAGAGCAGATTTCCATTTTGAAAGTTTTGCTTTGACTCAGAAAATAGATGAGGGGAGGGGGGGTCAAGACCAGTGGCCAGGAGACCCTTACCTGGCAGTCGGGTGGCAGCCATTCAGGTTTGGATTAAGGAATGCCCATGGGAATGAAAATGAGGAAACATTTAAACCCTGGTGATCAATCTGATGTAGGGGTGAAGCACTAAGGAGAAGTGCTAAGGAGAAGCACTAAGGCTGACTCTTCCATTTCTGACTTAAGTAACTGGGTACCATTGGTTGTGACAGAGCAGGTCTGGGGATAATGGGTTCCAGTCACAGTAGTTTGAGGGGCTTATGAGATAGTTCTCCACCTCCTGTACTTACCTGAAGCAGGCTGTCCTCAAAGGACTCAGTTTCCTCGGCCTTCTCAAGGGGAGGCTGTCTTCTCTCGCATCCTATGGATCGCGGAGCTGGCAGGCTTAGCATCTTCTCCTTGTTCCCCACTGCTGCTTTCCAACCTCTTCTCCTCTTCTTCCTTCTCCTAACCCTTGCTCTTTTGAGGTTAATGCCATCTAGTTGTACCACTTATTATTCCCTTCATTGCTATTATCTGTGGACTCGTTCACCAATGACTTTGGCTCCTGGTTCAGTCTTTCTTTTTATTTTTCCTTTTATCTGGCCCTCATCCTGGGGGATTTAATTGCCCACATGAATGACCCATCTAGTAGTCGTCCCTGTCATCTCCTTGATTCCTTCCTCTTCCTTCCACACCAACCAGCCTCCCCCCATGTTCACATGAGGCCACCTCACCACCCATGGCCATACCACAGCTGCATTCTGGATTTCAAGCCACCCACCCAGACCACCATTTTCTATTCTTCCAGGTTACTGGCTTTAGTAACATAGTTCTTTCCTCTCAAGACTTCATTATCTGTATCATTTTTTCACTACTCATCAGCTCCTTCCTGTTTTTACTTTCTTCTCTATTCATGTTAGAGAAGAGTCCGTTACCACATCACGCTCTTCATACACCTTCAACAAACTTGCCTGTGTCCATCTTTCTGTCCTTTACTTGACTGGCTAACCCCAACCGTACATATATCTACTTCTGTTATCAGCCTTCTGCTGGACATCCTAGCTGGCATAGTGTGGCAAAAAAGAGAAATAGTGTTTTCAAAATAAAAAGCGAGAGAGAGAAAGAACAAAAATTTAGATATATTTATGCAGACAATAAAAACAATCTATAGAAAAATGAGTTTAGTGAGGTTGTTGGTTAACACACAAAAACAAATTGTTTTTAAAAATATTGTTAGCATGCCCTGGTTAGTGTGGCTCCATGGACTGAGTGTCAGCCTATGAACCAAGAGGTTGCCAGTTCGATTCCCAGTCAGGGCACATGCCTGGGTTGCAGGTCAGGTCTCCAGCTGGGGGCGTGTGAGAGGCAACCAGTTGGTGTTTCTCTCATACACTGTTGTTCCTTTTCCTTTCTTCCTGTCTTCCCCTTTCTCTAAATATAAATAAATAAAATCTTTTATAAAATGTTGTTAATATACTAGGAAAATTCAGACTATCTAAGCTTATCTCTATATGTATGTAAATAAAAACCACCACTGTATCACTACGAAGTTAACAGTGAGCACAGTGAGTTAAAAAAAAAACAACACCCTACAGACTACCAAAGCACGTTATCATGATACCTTAAAATACCAGACAGAGGCCCTGACTGGTGTGGCTGTTGGCTGGGCATCATCCCACAAAGTGCAAGGTCATTGGTTTGATTCCCAGTAATGGCACATAACTGGGTCCCTGGTAAGGGTGCATATGAGAGGCAACCAATTCTCTCTCACGTGGATGTTTCTCTCCCTCTCTTTCTTCCTCCCTTTCCCTCTCTCTAAAAATAGATAAATAAAATCTTTAAAAAAATACCAGTCCAAGCAATAAAACCCTAAGGATATCCAATAAGAATAAGAAGAAAAACAGGTCACCTACAATAGAATAAGAATCAACAGCAACACTGGATGCTAGAAGACAATGGACCAATGGTTTCATATTTTTAAAGAAAAATTATTTGGTTTTAACCATAGCATAATTGTATGCTCAGCTAAACTAAATCTTGAGGCAGTAAATTATAGATGTTTAAAATTCTGGTATTTTTGGATATATAAGCACTTAGAAAATCTGCCTCACATATACTCATCAGTTATCTGATAATATGAACCAGGAAAAAGAAGGGAGTAAATAAAAAAGAATTACACTTGAACCCTGGCTGACATAGCTCAGTGGATTGAGCGCGGGCCTGCAAACCAGAGGATCGAGGTTCAATCCCCAGTCAGGGCACATGCCTGAGTTGCAGGCCAGTTCCCAGCAGGGGACACACGAGAGGCAAGCACACATTGATGTTTCTCTTCCTCTCTCCTTCCCTTCCCCTCTAAAGATAAATAAATAAAAGCTTTAAAAAAGAATTACACTTGAGATCCTGGATGTAGTAGACAGCCCAGGAGAACAGCCAGGGGAAATCCTAGGAAGACTTTTACAATAGCAGGCATGGCCCAAACCAACCAGCTCAGGTTAGAAATAGAATAGAGAGGCTTTCAGGAGGAAGATTTCAAAGAAAAAGAACTTGACAGAATACAATAGCAATCAGGTGAAACAGGGAAAGGAAGAATATTAATTATAATCAAGATACTGCAAGAAAAACAAGTATAGTAATTAGAAATGCTAGCCCCCCCCAAAAAAAAACCCTCTATGTAAGGAATAAATATAATTATAGTCCATTACAGCATTTGGATCTCTTACTCAACATTTTTAAAGTCACAGTATTGTAAACACTATTTACTGATATAAAAACAATGTGATTTAATGTAGGAGAATAAAGGATGAAAGGTAGCATGAGAGTTAAATTCTTATCAGTTACAGCAAGAATAAATAGGTAAGGTTTAAAATGAATAAATCAAGAAAAAGCATTATATGTACATCAGTTGGAGTAATGAAGGTACCCACCAGAGGAAACTGCTAGGAGTTACAAGGGATTGCCTCTGGCAAGCAGGATCTAGGAACAGGGGAGCACGTGGCGCAATGTGTTTGTGTTTTGGTATCAGCCTTAAGACACATAATGAACTATGTATTTACTGCTTTGAAAACACTTAAAAAATTAAAAAGAAAGATTTTTGGCCAAAAAGGAGGAGTATTGTTGGAAATGGATTTTCTTTTTAATGTTAAAGCTAAGGGACATTTGACAGCCCTGTGAGAGCTGGGATTTGTTCTAGTAGGGAGAGGAAGCCGTGCTGTAAGCAGCAACATTTTGGATAACCTGCCTAAAGAGATTTCAGAAAGGGATGGACTCCCCAAGCCTACAGTTATTTGTGATTTATTTTCTTACTCCAAATAATTTTTGAACCTTATTAAAAATCCCCCTCCCCCAAAATGAGTCCTTCACAGCACAGTCTGGTGTGACTTGGTTGGTTGGAGGGTCGTTCCACAAAGTGAAATATTGCTGGATTTGATTTCTGGTCAGGGCACATGCCTAGGGTGTGGGTTCAGTCCCTGGTTGGGTTGAGTGTGAGAGGCAACCAATGGATGTTTCTCTCCCTCTCTCTCTCTCTTCTCTCTAAAAATAAATAAATAAAAATAAAAATAAGTAAGTCCTTCAGATCTGGTGAACTTTAGGCCTCACAAAACCTGCATTAGTCCCTGGGGGGGGGGGTTGTGGTCCCCAAAGGAGTTCTAATTCATTCAGCATGTCTATTTTTTAAAATCCTTCTTCTAGAGAGGACAGTTCCCCCTTCCCCAGGAATTTTTATCATAAGAATTGTATTGGAATCTGTTCCTTCTTTGACTGTTTACCTTACCTGGAACTCACAGCGACTTTAAGTCCTTCGAAGGTAGGAACAGAGCTGTATTTCTGTTTCTATAGTACATAATTAATATGTTTCATAAATATTTGTTGAAGGAACAGACCGTGACGTATTTCAGTGTCATGAGGTATTACTCTTTCTTCTGTTCCATCTCTTTATTGAGGCTGTTATATGCAGAGCAGAAGGTGGAGGGAATGAACAGGCTGAACGGAGTAAATTGCTTCCAAACCCTAGACCCCACACTTTACATAGTAGATGTCTTTCTGAATGACATTTTGAATCATGTATATCAGATTTTGCTAATCTCAACTCCCCTTACTCATAGAGATTATATTAATGATGCATAAATATTTCGTTCCATGAGATGCAGAACATTTTGCTTTTTTCACGAATCTTTTTGTGCATTCTTTCCGTGAAATGAACTATCAACGTGTGTTAACTATATTTGGTGGGGGGAGTCAGCTAAAAATGAAGCGCGCCAGTACAAAATTCGGCTTTAACGATGACTAATTCGCATATCACATGTGGCGTTAGATAGGTGTTAAACACCTCAACCCTTTCTGTCGGCCCCTGGGCTCCCTTATCACCTGCTTCAACCCGGGGGCGGTGTCTTGACCCTCCGCGACCTCTTTGTCATGGAGTCCGCGGGGCATCTACCGCCAGAGGCCTTGGCAGTCAGCCCGGATCGACCTTCTCAAGATGGCGGCGCTGGGGAGGGGCAAAAGCACTTAAGGGGCGGGATCCCGTCATCAGAGGCGGGGCACAGAGGCAAAGGGGTAGGGCTTGCGGGCTGGCCGATTCCGAAGTAGGCAGCCCCACCGCGCCTGCGTGGAGCGGCCCTTCGCGCAGTGAGGCTGTAGCGGAGGAAGGCACCGGTGGGGCCGACGGGCGGGCTGGAGGAGGGAAGCTGGCGAGCGAAGTCCCAGTGCGCGCCGCGGCGGCCCGGGTACCCTCCCCTTCCGGGCGTGAGGCGCTGTGAGAAGAGCCGAACGGAGCGGACTCACAGCGGCAGCGAGGCGCTGCTACCGCCGCCCCAGTCCGGCCTCCCTCGGCCTCGGCGCTCCCGTCTTGGGGGCCCAGTTTCCTTAGCACACCCATCTCCAGCAGTCTGCAGAGCCTGTCCCCGGCCCTTTGAAAGCCCCGGCGCCTGCCCGGGCCCTTGGCGGGGAGAATGACGGAGCTGCAGTCGGCACTGCTACTGCGAAGACAGCTGGCAGGTGAGTGAGCGGGCGGGCGGCGGGGCCCCGGGCCGCGATCGTGGCGAGCCACTGCGGCTTACCTCCTCCTCTCTTCCCGGACGGGCGGCCGGACGGGTGAGGGGGAGCAGCAGCTGCCAGCGAGGCCGGGTAAGGGCTCGCGAGGGTGGGGAGCCCGAGGCGCCGGTCCCAGCCGGGCCCAGCACTTCCCCGGCTTTCGGAGGGTATTGGGGGCGGGGACGCGCCCCAGCCTCAGCGCTAGGACGGGGCCTGGCGCCCGGTAGGAAGGAGGGGAGGCTGCCCCCTCCCCCACGGCTGGGTGGGACGTTGCGGGGGAGGGGCTGTGGATCCCTAGCCGGGACCGACTTTCCCAGGAGGGGCGGGTCCCGGTCTCAGGTGTTGCCGAGGCCGTCGGACTCCTTGGGGGTAGAAAGGAGAGTCTGGGCCCGCCTAGCTGCGAGTTCCCCCGGCTCGGATGTTTGAGCCGCCCGCGGATGTTTGAGCCGCGGGCGGGCAGCGGGTGGCGAGAGTAGGCGAAGAAACTGGCCCCTGGCCGGATAGGTGAGGCGCGCAAAACTTCTGCCGGGGCAGCGCCGGGTCCAAGGAGTTGTGGCGGACAACAAAGCGCCTCCGTGGCCTCGTCACTGGCGCGCGGGGGTCTGAGGACCTGGCGGGGTGTGGGACGCCGCCTCGCCTGCCTCTGCCTGGCACGGGCTCCGGCTGCGCCGCCCGGCTGGGGGAGGGTAGGAGCGGGCCGAGCGGAGAGCCGCTCGCTGGCCGGCTCGGGGCTTTGTGCTTGGAGCGGTTCCGGCTCCTGCGCAGGCCTGTAGAACCGCGGACTGCGGCCTACGGGCTCTGGCTTGGGGCGGAGGCCGGGTCTGCCTCCCCAGAGGTGCCTGTGGCCCCCCTCCCCCATTGTCCCGGCCTCCGGCCGTTTGCGGCTTCCAGGTTGACTTTTTAGGGGGTTGGCTCCTACTCTGCTAGGACTGTGTGAGAGGAGCATGCGCGCTGGAGAAGTACGTGTGTGAGTGTAAGGGGGGAGGCGGGTTGGTGGCTTCACAATGCCGCCCCACGTGCTGCCAGATTTAAAGAGAAATGAACCAGCAGTTACCCCCGCTGTCCAGCGCCCAGCGTGTGTCCTTTTCAGTTCAGGCGGATTTTCACCTCCTCACTGTACAGTCAGCAGCCCTTAGCCCTCGGCGGAAGCCAAAGGCTGGCATGAAGAAATCTGTTTTTGAATTAGAATTACTGAGAATTTGGGGTTTTAGTTAAATCACCTTTACGGCTTCTTAGGAAAAGGTTGTCAGGGGCTGTTACAGATTGTATAATTAGGTTTATTATTAGACCATGAGCAAGCAGGTTTGGACAAGTATTACAATTCTAGATGCTCGGGGGAGTGATTGAGGTGAATGGAGTTATAGCAATACCTATGTCTATTACGAAAAATGTATTGGAAAAATAGTGAAAGCATAATAACCTAATTGCATTTTATATTTTCAAACACCTTTTGTGTAATTTTAAAATTTGTTTTGGGCGAAAGAATTAAGATGTTCCCCTAAGAATTATTTAATCAGAATAAGTTTTTTAGTGAACTATTAAACAATGTGAAAATACTGAATTATTAAAGTAGTACTCTTACATAATGAGAAAGATACACATTTAAAAAGGTGTAAAAGTTTACACAGTTACTAAGAAAGTATGATTAATAACAGTAGTAGCAAACATTTCAGAACTATTTCCTACCCATTTATGAACTAGCTGTAGATTTTGATAGCCACTTGGTTCAGTTTTGCACCTTTTTTGGGCAAGATTAATCGCATACATTGATAAGACATTTCCCAAAGATCTTTACTAATAGCTGACATTCTGATAAGGCACACTAACCTATGCTTTAAAATCGGAAAAGAGGAAGATTTAGTTTGTAATTTTTCAAGCCTCATTAATAAAGTTACTTAGCTGCTTTTACAAATAGAGGCCAAGGCAGTGCATTAAGTCAGATGTAAAAATAAGTTTACTGGAAAGACTTGATAACTACATACTAAAATAAATGCCCTGTTGTATTTTACTTGTACCCTGAGCTTTATGATTCTTCAAATATCATTTTAAAACAGGAGGAATTGTAATCTGTGATCTCTTTATAAGTACTTAAAAATCTTGAAATGCATTGAAATTTAGTAGACACAAACCTGTAAGTGGTTCTTGCTGCTAGAATTTCAGAAATTTACAGCAGTGGCCAACAATGGTTACATTTATTGAGCCCTTAGCCTACTATTAAGGATTTTACTTATTACTTGAGGGGAGAATTTATTGTTTGTTTTGTTTTGTAGGTAACTGAAACGAAGAAACTGGTTACTTTCAGAGTTGAGCAGAATGATTCCTTGGGTTGCAGAGTTTCTCACCTCAGCTCTACTGACTTTTTGGGTGGATTATTGTTGTGTGGTTCTATATTCTGCATAATAGAATGTTTAGCAGCATTCTTGGCCTCTGTCCACCAGATGCCAGTAGTACATCCCTTCAGTTGTGACAGCCAAAAATGTCTGTTGCCAGATGTCCCCTGAGGGACAAAGTCATCCCAGGTTGAAAAATCACTGGTTTAAGGTGTTTTAGTGAAGACCATGTGGATATCGTTAATGAAGTAAGAACACTTAAGAGATTCCTGAAATCAGATAGGTTGTGTATTTCTTTGTGGAAATTATTAGACTACGAGTTTATTCCTTTGCGAATTTAGCAGTGGCAGTTTAGCTTTTGCAGCACATTATGCTAAACACTAAGAAATCCCACAGCATAGGAAATTTTGAATGTTTTAATTTTTTTTTAAGTTATAAGCACTGGATAAATGTACATAGTACAAGAAGGTATATAGTCTTTCCACCCTGACCTCAAGTTCTTTTCTTAGAAGCAACCATTATTAATAATTTCTTGTGCCTTTTCAGTGAGATTCTTTTATATATGTTTATGTGGGCTAATGTTTACCGAGGACTAACAGGTACCAGGTGCTGAGTGCTTTACATATATTATCTTATTTAATTCTCCCAATAAGGAATAGAGGCTTAGGTTAAATAACTTGCCCAAGGTTACACAGGTAGTGATTGGTGCTGCTAGATTCATATTCAGGACCTTCTTATTTGAGAGACTTTGTTGTTTATAATTGGCTATATTGCTTCCCAGGGAGCAATAATTAACACAATCATGAAATAGTTTCGTACTAGTTTAAATATTCAAAGTTAATTTATTCAGCAACCATCAAAATGATTGAAAAAACAGTCTCATTTTAATAAAATCAAAGTATTAAAATATGCATTAAAACCTATGATATTCTTAAGGTAATCATAAAATGATATTTTTGCCATTGTTAATTTAAGACCAATATTCTGCAGAACCAAGGACCTTTGAATTTAATGTTGTAGACTGAAAGTAGCACTAAGCTTTTTAAAATATATATATTTTATTTATCTTGAGAGGGGAAGGGGAGGAGACAGGGAGAGAAATATCAATGTATGGTTGCCACTCATGAGTCCCCTGCTGGGGACTGGCCTGCAACCCAGGCATGTGCCCTGACTGGGAATGGAACCTCTATCCTTTGGTTCGCAGGCCTGCGCTCAATCCACTGAGCTACACCAGCCAGGAGCACTAAGCTTTTTAATGCTGGCAGTTAACTCTGAGAAAAAAATTGGGACTGATTCCCTACTCTAACTGTACTAAATTTACTATAAGAGGAAGCCTTTTTTCTTCTTTTAAAGATCACTTGAGGTTTGGTTTGATTTTGTTTTTGACATCGGTAACATTGTTTTTCAAGAGTTCTCACGGGTGCCTGTCATCCTAGAACTAGGAAGAAGAATCTTTATGCAGTAGTAATTAAATAATTGAGCTTCTTTTACTGTAGAAATTTTGGTTACGTATTTTAAAATAATCTGGAAAATTCCCACATTTTTTTCTCCTTGGCTATACCCATATAAGTAGGTTGTCGTGATGAGTGAGCTATGTGTGTTTCTCAGACATAATGTGCAGTAAAGTCACTTGGGAGTTTGTTAAAAATACAGATTCCTTTCCTCATCCCCACAGTCTGCATATCTTGATGGGGCTCAAGAAAACCTAGTTTTTGTAGCAGCTGTTTGGGTGGCTGCGAAGTGTGTGTTCTGAGCTACACTGCAATAAGTGCCTCAAGCAATGCATGTCCTCCCCCAACCCCCCCGGTAGGACCACCTGCAGCTAACCCAATGCCTAGTGTTTGTGGTGTGCTTTGTTTCATTAGCATCCCTGGTGTTCATAAGATATTGAAAGAAAACTCATAAGAGGAGTTGGAAAGATTTAATATTTCTTAATGGCCTTTCTAAAATGTATTGGCACTCTGACATACAGTTCCATTAACAATCTTAAGCAGAAATAGAGTAATTGATTATTGACAGGGACATAATTTATTAATAAGGACACCCTAATGGTAGAACATTCTGGGTGATGAGCTACAAATTAATAATCTTAACGTTAATTGTTGACCCACATTTAGAAATGCAAGAAACGTCTAAAAATAAATTTACATTGCATCACACTACAAATTGTTTAACATAGTCGAGGAATTTTTATATCCAGAAATCATTACACTATTATAGAAAGAATGCAGCTACTACATACTGTACTGAATGTGCTTTCAGACAAAAAGCATAAATGAAATGTGGTGGTTGAGGGAGGGTTGTAGGGCGACACACAGTCCCTGTACTGGAGGGAGTATCAAGGAATTACTCATCTGACGTGTTATGTTACAGGCTCTAAAATGGTCTTATTTTTGCAATATATACCTAAATCATTATATTGTACACCTTAACGGTACACAATATTATATGTCAATTATGTCTCTAAAGCTGGAAAAATCTTAGTTTTTTTAATGAATAAGTAAATTTACTTAACATGAGGGAGTAGATGATTTTTAAGTTATTCAGTTATTCAGATATTTTTTGTTATTCAGTGAATATTTTTGATAACGAAATTTAGTTTTTATAAATGATAATTTATTTTTCTATAAATAA